CTTTTTTTGTAACTCACCCCCATTCAGCGGGGGGACACTTCCCTCGGGGAAATTTTAGTTTTTAGGGGTATATATTATTATTATTTTTTCTTTTCTCACCTTTAGTGCATATAGAAAGTTGCAATTAACATTGTATTGAAATAGCTATTTACCTAACAAGTGCGGAAAATGAATTTTTCCGCAAGTGTTAGGTACAATATTTTTCCTACAGGCGTAAAAATGTAAAAATTTTCTTTTTTTTTTTGACAGATCAGTGCGGTAAAAGTTTTACCGCACCGTGCGGGAAAACTCATTTTCCGCACGCATATCAGTGCAGAAAATCGATTTTTCCGCACGGCTGTAGGAAAAGATTTTTTTTCCACCACCTTTTTGTTTTTAGGGGTAGTTCGCCTATTTTCAATTTTACAAAAAAAAATTATTCATTTTATTATTTTGAGCAACTTTTCTCTATAACTTTTTTTTGTAAAGTTGAAAATAGGCGAACTACCCCTAAAAACTAAAAGGTGGTGGAAAAAAATCCTTTTAATACAATGTTAATTGTTAATTGCACCTTTTTATTAGCTCTAAAGGCGTGAAAAGAAAAAAAAAATTAATATATACCCCTAAAAACTAAAATTTCCCTAAGGGAAGTGTCCCCCCGCTGAATGGGGGTGAGTTACAAAAAAAGTTGATTGGGAAAGATTGTAGGAAATGTAATCTTATAAAACTTTTATAAGGAATTTTTTTTTGTGAAAAAATAAATAAACTTTAAACTACCCCTATTGAAAAACGGCAGGGGGTGAGTAAAAATTTCATAAAGCAAAAATGTTGTATGTGTTGTAGAAAAAATTTTCACGTTGGTTAAAATTTTTCATTTTCATTATAAAATTTCAAACAGCCCTTATGACCACAGACAGCCCTTAATCAAAAAAATCATTAGATAAACATTATAGATCAAATGATGTTGCACATCTTTTATTTGTAACATTTTTTTATAAAATCAATAGGTACCAAGTAATCGCCAATCGCGCACTTTCAACCCATATAGCGCAAAACGCCAGAGGGGTGAATGTTTGATATTTTCGGTTTTGTGATCACCCACCCGCCCCCTATCATCCCTGAAAAATTCATTTGGGTAGGAATTTTTTTTTTTGCAATACATGTATTTTTCGACTATTTTCCTAGACTAACTATCGATTCAAAACAAATTTGGAAAATTTTAGTTCACTTGCAAGTTCCCTATTTCAGCGGTATCCCATTTATGGGTCAGCCCTTTAGTATTAAAAAATTCTTGGTCGGGTACGGGCACTGTGTTGTTTCTCACTTTTACCTCGAGTAGTTGTATAGTTTCTCTTACTTTCCGTCGTAGGTCTTGTGTCGTATATTATAGTAGGATGGCGCCAGTGGCGGTCCATACATGATTTTCTGGGGGGGGGGGTAATGGATGAAATTTTTTTTGGGGTGCCACGCCCAAAATTGCAACCGAAAGCCGTTTAAAAAACATGCTTCAGGCAAAAATGTATCCCACTTAGTGCGATATCGGACGATATCTCCTTACAGGGTGATGCAAGAAAAAAAAAAAATACAAAGTTGTTTGATTCTCTAAGGTGCATTAGTTAAAAATATTTTTAAATATACAGGGTGCTCCGTAAATGGGATATGCGAAAGAACTTTGTTATTTTTTGATGGACATCCCTATATTTAGTACTTTAATGGATCATTATAGAAATTGTACATATTTTTTCAAAAAATCACAGTTTGCATTCTATAAGCTAAAGGTTTTGCAGGTTTTTAGTACATACATTAACTTCATGGTCCTATATAAATCTACACAAAACGAGATATTTCAAACAACCATAGCTATTTTTTTTTCTTCAAATAGAATAGCCTATATCTCACTGTAGTATCAGGGATGTGCTTCTACACGTAGACTTTCATTGTCTACTTTACGTGTAGACAATGTAGACAACGTGTCAACAATGTAAAATAATATAAATGACGTTTAATTCTAACCTCACACTTTCCTTTTTTTAATTTATTTTTATTTTATTATTGGTTTTTCTGATATTTTATAATCAGTGAATGCTTGTATCGCACTGATAGTGATATTATAGTAACTTTTGATATTTTTTTTCGAATTTTTTAAAATAAGTTATTGTTTACGTCGCATGTAGACAATGTGTAGACAAATGCTCACGTAAACAATTCGAATTGTCTACGCGTAGACAATCAATTGTTTACGTTGACATTAGCTGGGTTCGGGATGGCCAAGCGGAGCTCGAGTAGAGTTGGAGTGGCGTTTTTATCACGTGACCAAAAAGCTTTTGGAGTGTATCAGTAAAACCGAACGGCCAAGGTGCATTTGGAGTTTCTTAACTTTATTCCACAAATGACAAGTATTATTTTAAAAACAACAAACGTTTTTCGAGTCTTTTCTATGAATTTTTGGTATTTGGTGCCTATATTTGATTTTGTTCAAGACGTTTATTTCGGCGACTTGTCTGAAGAAGTCATCAAGATCATCATTGGAAATTTCAGTGAAATTACGCGTTGCTTGCATGTCAAATACGCAGTTTAAAATCCATTCCATTCATTTACCAGGTAATTACAGATTAAATATTGATTTGTTGACTGTCGATTAGTCGAATAGTCGATTGTGGCAATCAAAAAAATAGGATAAATGACACATCACGAAAACGCACACAGTGCGCATGCCCGCTCCGGCGCTTGCTGATGACGAGGTGGTGCTTTCAGAGTCAGCTCTTTTGACTCCCGCACGTCCTTCCCGAACGCATGTGGAGTTACTCTTTAAGCTCAAAATGACAATACCCGAACGCATCGGGAGTGTTTATTGCAGTTGGAGTTTATAGAACAGTCATCCCGAACCCACCTATTGTCTACAGGCACATCACTGTGTAGTATAGGTATACGTCGGTACTGTGGGTGAGCCACATCATATTTATATGATGCCTTTGATGCTTTCCTTTGTAGAACTTGTCTCTTGTTGAAATTTTGTTGTAATTATCAAATGTATAGAAAAAATCTTTGTCTGGGGGGGGTAATTACCCCCTCTACCCCCCCTTTAAACCGCCCTTGGATGGCGCTAGTTTGACGATGTATTTATAAAATTTGTATTGTTTCTCACTTGGCTCCTCTCTTATATCTGGCTCCGATGGATCAATGTTATGGTTCAGAGGGATAATGGACTGTATGAGTTTTAGCTGTCTTACAAAAAACGATAATAGACCTGGTGGACCCTTTTTTTGGTGTTCCCAAGTAATTTTGTCGAAATATAAAGTAATCTAATGACTTAATACAAGCTAACTACAAATTAATACTAAACAATGCGTATTACGTCGACTTCATCTACTACTATTGATTATTTCTGTTCAAATTTGTCAAATATCATAAATAACACAAGTGTGTTTTCATCTGGAATTTCTGATCTGAAGCGGTCTTTTCCAAGTTTCCTCCAGAGATAAGGAAGAGTGTTCGGCGAGGTAGGATTTTTGATGGGGGAAGTTTGGAGGTGTTCCGCAATAGAACCTTGGACATAAACTGGCTGGGCTGGAACTCTGTAACGGATAGAGATCGTTATCCCTATCGCTATGGCACTTGCTGTCTTCTTCTCTCTTGTCAAAATCAATAGAGAGGAGACGTCAATAGAGATAGAGAAAATATCTTTATTCGTTACCGAGTCCCAGCCCTGGCGACTGTAGATTCTCCTGATTCACTTTCTTATTTCTACTTTGTTCTGCTCGATGCTTTCAATACATACTTTCCATTGAAAACATTAAAAGTAAGTCTTGAAAGCGGTGGTTCACCGAGGGCCTTCGGATATCTTGGCATATTCTTCTATTCTTCGCTGTCTGGGCCTCCTTAGGAGATTCACTAATAATGTCTTCATAACTTACTGTAAAAACTACCGAATTATCTATCACAGACTCATCAGGGTCCTTATTCTTGAAACAAGGGGGAGCAGCACTCCCAGAAGAACGAGTACTCTGTCTTTGTTACTTATATTATCATTTGCATACCATTGAGAAAGACGGAACACTCGTTCTCCTGGGAATGCTGCTCCCCTATTTCAAGAATAAGGACACAGGGCAGCTAAGGAGGGGTAATTTGCAGATAGATTCTCTTCCGCCAAGATTAAATCTAGAGAGACTTGGTCTCTGTTCTAGTGAATGTACCCAGACATTTAATACTGAACTGGATCCCAATACTCTGTATGCATATTATTGTGGTGTTGCCTCTTCCTTGACTGCTAATTTTTCATCGGATGCGAATCCAATTTCATACCTTACCAACGTTGGAATACCTAACTCTTCCTTTTTCGGTCCTGCCAATGTTCAAGCGATCATAGAAGTTTTTGCTGATTTACGTAATAAAAACTTTTCCGGAGAGGAACGACTTATCTTCGAGAATATTTCTGGGTCTGCCTGACAACGCTCTTTTGGACCTTGCTCTGGCAATTAAAGATTCTTTTTCAATAGGTGTGTTTCCGAGTTGTCTCAAACTGACCATTGTAATGCCCTTGCATAAGGGAGGTGATATGGAGGATCCTTCTAATTTTCGGCCAATTTTTATTCTATCCACACTCTCTAAGGTGATTGAAAACTAGTTAAAAAAAGAATCATAGCTGTCATACCAAACCGTATTATAATGGGGTTGTTTGATAGTGTTTTGTGATGGTGCCACATAAATTGTGAACTCTGTACCTGATCAATACTTTTACAAAACTTAATGTTCATTTTAAATTTTTTTATTGGCTTCTCCATCTCCAGTCAATATTTTAATCCATTGTGTAGTATATAAGAATATTATTTTGAGTATTATACAATACTGGCCTCTTAGCTTATAAGTCAGATTTAGTAGGCTTTGTTATAAGATTTATTTCTTGACAATAAAATCATTTGAATTCTATATTAAAATGTAGAAGGCTATAGAGGAATTGGCACATACAGAACTTATTCGTTAAATTTATAATATTTATTGATTACTTGATCAATTTATTTCAGGATGATGTCGATTCTTATATGGCACGACCCGAAAACAGCAACTTCGAAGAGGTTCTCAAAAAACTAGACAGTCAACATGGAAAATACAAATTTATGGAATATAATCTGCAATCTAAGAAAAAGCGTCTACAAAACCAAGTCCCCGAACTGAAGAGATCCTTGACCATGATTGAAAAATTGGAAAATCAAAAAGAAGAATTCGAAACGCAATTTCTGCTAAGCGAACAAGTTTTCGCTAAGGCCAAAGTACCGCCAACAAATAATGTTTGCTTATGGCTTGGCGCTAATGTTATGTTAGAATATACTTTGGAGGATGCTAAAAAACTGCTAACTCAAAATATAAACATGGCGGAAAAAAATTTGAGCTTTGTTAATCATGATTTAGATTTTCTCAGGTAATTATTTATTTTGAGTGTTCATGAATAACTTGAACACAAAAAAAATTAAACTTTTAGGGATCAATTTACAACCACAGAAGTCAACATGGCAAGAGTTTATAACTGGGATGTGAAAAGGCGCCAAGCTCTTGCTGCACAATCGAAATGATATCATGGAAGCTTTATCGTTTAGATTTTTTTTTGTTAAATTATTAACATTTGGCTATTTTGTAACTTAATTAAACCGAAATTTAAATAATTACATACTCACAATTACTATTATTAAATAATTATTTGAATAAAAATTTAGATAATTAACAGTATGTAGTTTGAAAATAATGATGAATATGAAGGAAAGGAAAAAATCTACAATTGGTAAATTAAGTACATAATTTATTTAAGGCAAGATTCACTCGTTTATTCCAAAGTGATTCTTCACATTTATTTCTAAATACTGATTCATAAACATAAAAACAAAATTCCCTTTGGGTTATTAAATGAAAAAAAACTTCATGTAGTCAAACAAAACGAAAAACCTATAAAAAAAAAATCAACAAAAGTAAGTCAGTATTCTAAATTCTATATAATTGATACCCAATAAATGCAAATAATAAATAAAGGTGAGTTTATACAGACAAGTAAGATAAGATGACATAAACCTCTTGAGGCATTAAAACAGAAAATACAAGAAATAAAACAGTTGGGCGACTTTTATTTCTTATTATTTTATCTGAAAACAGATCTGCACATACTTCTGCTTTGAGTTTGGCAATAATTTTAACAATGAAGTAAAAAGAAAGTTTTTCTTTTAATCCCAAGGAACATAATTGGATTTTTATTCCTTACGGAATAAAATGCATAATTTGATCATTTTGTATAATTAGGTGAATTTAAGGTAGGTTTACATGATCAATTTAATTTTTATAATTCGTGATATGGCGAAATTGTTTTGGAAAATAACAAGTCAACATCTGTGTTACGTTATATCCTCTGTATAAAGCCACCTTCATGCTTCAACAAATATAATTGCACAAAGTACATGGAATAACTATATTTAACATAATATACAAATAATAAACTTGTGGCATAAATATTTATAAAATTCCCTTTTTTTTTGGTTTATAACAACAGAATTTTTGAAGAACAAATTGTAGATAGCTTCATTTGTTATCTGATCCCAAAATTTGAAAATTTACAAAACTACTTGAGTAATTTAAACTTTTACTTCTTTATTCAAAATATTAAATACCCTGTCAACAACTTGCAATTTTGATAAGTCTTTCTAATACTAAGGTAAAAAGGGATTAAACATTTTGTCACAAGAACAAAATAGAATACCCATGAAGGTATTTGGATTTTTAACAGCCTAAGTTGAAAGACTTAGGAAATTGTAATAAAAAAAACTAATAATGAAGAAGGCAGAATGAATATGATTAATCTTGAGGAGTTTCTTCGGGATTCTCCTCTGGTATTAAATCTGTATCCTCTGCTTTTGGAGTTTCTTCAACTTCAGCTGGTGCCTGTTCTTCTAACTCGGCTGCTGCTGCAAAAAAAAATTCTATAATAACACGCCCATAACAATTTAGGGTTCTCTATAATTTGTTTAGCAATCAATTTCTCGTGAAACTTTGCTAGTAGAGTGAGATGCACATCATACTTGTGTCTCTTGAAAAACCCGAATAGTATTTTTCAAAATTCTTAATATGTACTCTGTATCTCAGAAACAAAAGGGACATGCTAAGTATAATACAGAGTGTCCCAGTTGAGAGTGACCCATTTTAAATGCTTATAACTTCTGCATCAGGTGTGCTAGCTAACTGCGGTTTGCGCCATTCGGTTTCTCTTGGCCTGAAGTTTTGTCTAGTAGGTTGCAATTTTTTTCGGCACTTATACAGGGCGAATAAAAAAAAATCCGTTTTTCAACGTCGAAATTCTCCACTATTTTTAATGGAACACCCTGTACATCACAACGTCGAAAAAAAGATTCATGTTCAAGGTATCCATATATGAGTAGACATCGTCCCTAAAACTTGAAGTTTTAACCGTAAAAAATCAAAATCGAAATCTTGGTATTTTTGCGAGCGCATATTTACAAAGCTTGGAACCTATATTTTATTCTAGGAAAGAAAGGTTGAACCTCGCAAACTCGACACAAGTTCTGTTTTATTTTTTTGTTCTGGTAGGACAAGGGCTGCTTATTATGGATCTAACTTTTTCCAACAAAATTTAACCCTGGAACACCCCCCTAAAGGTCGTTTTTTGTGGGTTTTCCGAAACGTAGCGCTTCCGCGACGTTTTACAAAAAAATACCTTCATAGTAAATTAAAGGGGGCTAAATCCTCTACAATTTATCCAGCGACAGCATATGTCTATCACCCACCCTTTATTCGGGGTGGCGCTCTAAAGTTGAATGACCTTGAAAAAAGATGTTTTGGAAATCATTATTTTTTTTACTGAACAGTACAGCGAATCCACCACAAACCATACAGCAAATACTCATAAATAATTGGCCGATTTTTTGGTTGGCCGATTTTTTGGTATATGTTTTATTTAATAACAGTTACCCGTTTAAGATATACAGAGTGTGAATGAATGAATGAATTCGCTATACAATTTCTGAGCTTTGGGACGCCACTGTGGAGTAACAGTTGCAAAATATTGGAAAATGCATTAGGAACCTATTTGTAGAGCAAATGGTGGTCTTTAATTTTATATAAATTTCCTTCCCATACACTGCATAGGTAACGAAATAATCGCAAAACAGTGGTTGCGACAACTTCCATAAGGGGCAGGGGTAGTTTCCGGGAGAATGTTGCAGTAAGAAGATATATTTTTGGAAAGCTTATTCAGTGCGCTACTGACCTATGTGAAACAAAAAGCCAAAAAAAAATTATTTTTTTTTCACCCCCTTAATATTTCTTTTTCTGTACTAGAAAAATGATTTGGTGTCTATGCATATAGGTTGGAAGTGTGCACAAAATTATATTTGAACCATTCACATGAAGGGCATTGTGTGCGAGAAAATGAAAAAAAATAGTTATTTATTAGGGAATCCAAACCACGTGACTTTTGCCAACCATCCGGCATTTTGAAATTTTTATGAGGTTAGAATACGGGTTGTTACAAGTCAATGATGTCAGAAAATTGTCAGATTGATAAAGCCTAGTACTCATAACCGCGAAAGTCGCTCTTTTTTGACATTGCTTCGACAATTTGACGTTTGATTCACGCATAAAACGTCAAATTGTCGAAGCAATGTCAAAAAAGAGCGAATTTCGCTGTTATGAGTACTAGGCTTAATCCTGCCAAAAAAAAAAAAACATGGTTTTTGTTTATTGTTTGCCAACCAGACGCCATTTGGACAGGTCGTTGGATTGCCTAATTATACAAGGGAAAAAAGTACTAGATTTTAGCACGAGTTGTGGCGAGCGCTAAAATCTTACTTTTTTCTCATGTCAACAGGTACAAAAAGTCTACTTTTTTCCCGTCACAGAAAAAAAAAAATTCAAATTTTATTTTTTGTAAGGTGGTTCCAGGTAGAAAATAGGGGTGCATTATACGAATTTTTCAAAATCATTCCTACATCAATAATCGCTGAAAATCTGAACAGCCTAACATTAGCCCTCCAGATGATATGGAAGAGGGTTTTTTAAATTTCAACACCCTGTATATCTTAAACGGGTAACTGTTTTTAAATAAAACATATACCTACCAAAAAATCGGCCAGTATTTGCTGTATAGTTTGTGGTGGATTCGCTTTACTGTTCAGTGAAAAAATAATAATTTCCAAAACATCTTTTTTCAAGGTCATTCAAATTTGGAGCACCACCCCGACTAAAGGGTAGGTGATAAAAATATGCTTTCGCTGGATAAATTGTAGAGAATTTAGTCCTCTTTAATTTACTATAAAGGTATTTTTCTGTAAAACATAGCAGAAACGCTACATTTCGGAAAAATCACAAATAACGACCTTTAGGGGGATGAAAGAGAATGTTCCAGAGTGAAATTTCGTTGGAGAAAGTTAGAGCCATAATAAGCAGCCCTTGTCCTACCAGAAAAAAATAAATAAAACAGAACATGTGTCAATTTTGTGAGGTTCAACCGAGGGGTCAACACCTGATTGGAAATTTGTACACCTACTGTAAACTAGCCGTTCTAGTTGAGTATTGTCGAGTATTGTCAGGTATTGTCACTTTATTCTAGGTATTGTATGGTATTGTAGGGATTGTCAAGTATTGTTAACATATTGTAAGTATTTAACTAGTACTGTCGGGTACTGTAGATGAAACAGCAATACTTAACCTGTATTGTAAAGCAATTTTTAGTACTGTTACTATGATGATGGTGGCTCAAAGACGAAACGTCGAATCTGAAATTTGGTAGCAACATCTTGTGAAGGGCAAAAAGTGACAACGATGGAGTGACATTTATTTTAAAATTGCTCTTCAAATAGACTCAGGAAAAAATAAAAATGATTTTGCAAAATTTTGTTTTTTTCCGAATATCTTCGGAAGTATTCAGAACTTTTCAAATTTCAAAACAGCATTTTATTGGTCATAAAATTGCGCAACTTTGCCATAATTTAACCGACCTCGTATCTCTTATAGTTTGCGATATCTCAATGGTCACCCTCGAATTTGGGACACCCTTTATAAAAAAAAAATATTTATTCATGAATTTCTTCACGAGATTAGCTAGGTATTTTTTGGTGAAAATATACAGAAAATTTCAGTTCTACTAACTTTCCTTGCCAAAATCAAAAATTAAAACCAAGTGGCAGTAATGACATTATTAACCTAAATTTAAATTGTTAACAAACACCAGCTGGGAATCCAGGGCTGGGACTCTGTAATGAATAGAGATATTTTCTGTGTCTTGGCTCTGTTGATTTCGAAAAGATAGAAGAAGATAGCAAGTGCCATAGCGATAGGGATAACGATCTCTATACATTACAGAGTCCCACAGCCCTGCCTTCCTATTGGTTGGAACGCCCTACCAGCACCAGAGCGCATGCGCGGAGGACATTTGGTAGGTTGTAATGAAAATGACCAGTTATGTCAATACTGTCGCTTGCTTGGTGCAACTTAAGTTATATAGTGAAATTATTATGGATGCACGTCATCAATGACGTCGAAATTATTGCCAATTGCAGTCTGTAAGAAATTAAAATTCGTTTTCAACTCGGAGCACATTCTCTCTTTTGTTTAACCTTAGTTAAAAAGAGATAGAATGCTGTCGGATCATATAACAGAATCTGCTTTCCGCAAATCTTCGGTTATTGATTTCAACAATTTGAGGTTTATTGTCAGTTTTTAACGAGTTGAGGATTGATAGTTGGGATATAATTTATACTTGCTATAAAATTGTATTAATGGAATTTCGGTTTTTTGGTATTAGGATTCTTGTCAAGCCATTAAGGCCGTGGCTAAAGTAACAGAGGTGTTACTATAATTATTTTTTTAAAGTAAAGTTCAATGTTGTCACTGATGAAAACGTTACTTTTAATAGGGGTTAATAGTAACGGAGGTGTTACTCTAATTATTTTCTTGAAGTAACGTCAATATAGCAATATGTAGATAGGTAATTACTTTCTTTAGCAATTTAAAGTAAAGGTGATATTCTTGGTTCTTGGCATTTGTTTTAGAGTAAAAATGGAAATAAATTTAAAAAAACCTGACTTGACTTTGTAGAATAGAATAGAATACTTATAAAACAGGCACAATTATAGGCAAGGCAGGAAAGACACATTTTCTTATGACTGTCAGAAAGTGACAATTTGTTACCTTTTTTTCAGGTAGGAAAATAGTAATTTCGCCTCCCTATGGAGGAAAGTAAATTATTTTCCTTCCTAGGCAGGATAAAGATACACTTTTGTAGCACTAATTCTGGTTTCATTTTCAGAGTTGCCAAGTATGCGATAGTAAAATGGGGGCGGAGTTAGCGGAATCATTTGAATCCCTACTCCTAGCCGCTTTCACAGCTCACCCCCCCCTGGCCCATAAACATGTAGTCAACCAAAACAAAGCTATTTTATCAATGGGATGTTCTGTCTATCTGTGTTAATAGGTCATTGTCTCTGCCACTTGGCCTGTCATGTGGTGCAACACTTTTAAAAGCTCGTAACCCGATTCACACGTATTCTTTTAGTATTGTCAACAGTGGCGGCCAGTGGCAACCTAGTGTGGTTGTGCGCTCTTGGAAATTTTTTTGGAGGTGCCACGTCCTGTTTTACATTTATTTTGTAAGTTGATTTTTTTTCTTTTTTACTTTAGGAAAAATTATCGAAAACAAAAATATATGTATTTAAATGAGGCTTGAATGTTTGTATTCTAGCCATAATACATAATTGATATTGAAATTTATAATTTAAAAAAAAAAACCGCGAACAACAAAGTTGTCAAACCGCCAAAATGGTGAAAAAACATCGAAATATTCTCGATTGAGTGGAAACAACATTGGAAGTGTGTATTCAAATAACGCACGGCGCATCCCTTTCATCGAGCGACTTACCGTATATTCCCGATCAATCGCACAGCGAGAAAA